AAAAAAAAAAAAAGCACAGTATATTAAGAAAGGAGGAGGAATATGTGGCTTACAAATGTCTTTCTGTGCTATGGTGATGGGAGCTGCCCATTTGATAGCTATATAGCACATTCTTAATTTCCCAGGCCTGGCAGCCCTGCTTTGTCGGCCTTGCGTGTGCAAGGGACGTGTCCTGGTCATCAACATTCATTTGTAATCCCACTTTTGATGCATCATTTAATTTTGTGAGGGAGTTGGACTTCAGAGGCCTCACACTGCTCCAAGATTAGTCCACAGGCAACAATACCATGTTAAGTCTATCAGGAGCTAAGGCCTGCATCACAACTTCTTGCTGTGGACCTTACTTTTCTTTTCCTTTGTAACTTTTCTGTTCCTCTTAACCCTGCTACCCACTCCACAGAGGAGTGAACAGGATCACTGGATGAATAAGATCCAGTGTTATCTCAAGCCTGGATGTGCAAGGCCGTGAGAAGGTAATTGGTGCTCACTCCTCTGTCTGTAGCATTTGTGCTGAGAAACCTTTCCTGGCCCTTGAATACACAGAGCAAGCTCCTCTTTATATTTCTTCTTCTGCATGTGGCTAAATCAGGGTTTTATGTTGTTGCTATCCAAATTGAGAAAAGAAATGATTTGTTTTGGCTTCATTTCAGAGGTTTCAGTCCGTGGTGAGCTGGCTCCATTGCTATGCGACCATGATAAGGCAGCAGCAGAACTGGCAGACAACATGCCCAACAAGTACAAGTAAGGCTCTGGGCTCAATTCCTAGTCCTAAGGGGGGAAGAAGGCAGAAAAACCCAAAGAGCTTGTGGCAGAGCAAAGTTCAAAGGTTTGTTCCTTGTGACCTCTTCCATCCAACTAGGTCCTGCCCGCCACAGTTCCATTTAAATTTTGAATCCACCAGTGGATTCAAGCATTGATCAGAGTCATCATGCTCTAATTTTCTCCAGAAAGTCCCTGACAACCAGAGGTGTGTTTTCCTAGGCATCTCTCAAACCAATAAAATAGATACTATTAACTATGGCAGCATGCAATACACTTTATTCATATGTCTGGTTCCCTTATCTCCTTTCAATCTATTTTAAATTTTATTATTTTTTGGGGGGGTTATGGGGGCTGAACTCTGGGCCTGGGCTCTGTCCCTCAGCTCTCTAGTTCAATGCTAGCGCTCTACCACTTGAGCCACAGTGCCACTTCTGGCGTTTTTTGCGTATGTGGTGCTGAGGAAATCAAACCCAAGGCCTCATGCATGGAAGGAAATCACTCTACCACTCAGCCACCTTCCCAGCCCCTAAGATTTGATTCTGTTTTCAATGAGCTTTCAATATCAGTCAGAATAGACTAGGTTATGCTATATGACAAGTAAGCACCAAATATCAGGGCCATCAAACAACAAATGGTTAATTCTCATTTGGTAGAATTATGTCCCACTATTAGTATACTGATA